CGGAGCAAACGTCTATCTGTGGAAAACCTGGTTGACGTTTGTGCCAATTCAGCGGATTGGGTTTTCTGGGGGTGGGGAAGCAGTGGGACAATCAGAAGTCTGCATGAGCCCTTGGTTTTTGCCCCTGCAGCCTCTTATCCCTCACCAGGCCCACTTCAATGTAACAGGATGACATCCTCTTATATGGAGGAGCTCTGTGGGTTAAACCACAGAGCCTAGGACTTGCCCATCAGATTCGCGGATCACCGCGATGGGGTGAGCTCCCGTTGCTCAGTCCCTGCTCCTGCCAACCTAGCAGTTCGAAAGCATGTCAAAGTGCAAGTAGATAAATAGGTAACACTCCAGCAGAAAGGTAAACAGCGTTTCCGTGCGCTGCTCTGGTTCTCCAGAAGCGGCTTAGTCATGCTGGCCACATGACCCAGAAGCCGTACGCCGGCTCCCTTGGCCTATAGAGCGAGATGAGCACGCAACCCCAGAGTCATCCGTGACTAGACCTAATGGTCAGGGGTCCCTTTACCTTTACCTTAAATCTGACCTTGGGATTCAACTAAGCCGGCTGATACCCACTCCTTTGCAGCAATACTGATCTTGCATGCCATGGGATGGGAGAAGTGGGTCTTGGAGAGGCGCTCTCTGTTTTGTGCATTCTGCACATCACTGCGGCATTGCCAAGTATGGATTTCCTGGAAAAGTTTGAATCAGATTCTCTCTCTCCCCCGCCCCCCGTACATCAGAAATTTTTCAGTTTGCCCCAGGAAAATTTCCCGCTGCATCGGAGAGTGGTAATAGTTTAGCATGTTTGCTTCGCTCATGCTTACTAAACAAAGACATTTTGAAACTGCTCAGATTGACTAATGCTATATTTGCAAGTGCCAGCCATTCATCTGTCAGGGTCGTTACTGGGACTGTGCAAACGTCAGTCTCCCTTAGCAGAACTTTGCTCCTCCCTGGTCCTTTCCACTGCCATGCCGTGCTAAGATAAACCAAGGTTTGTCTCAGAGTGTCATCCGAACCAGGATTTATGGTTTGGCTCTCTCCTCCCTAACCAGATAACAAGCTTATAGGTTCAGTGGTGCTTACTGTCTTTATAGGACTGCAGTTTAGGCTGCTGAGATACTTTAGCATTACGTTGCTGTTGCAGAGTGTGGATTCCTCAAATACCAAAAATATAATTTGCAATTGTTTTTCTCAGTTCAGCCCCACCCTGAAAATGCAGTTGCACTCTACAGTAGCAACGTTTTGTGATTTGCATGTACATTACAACCAAGATGGAGCGGTATTTTAAGCAAATTGTCCCCCAAGTGTAGAAATTTATGATAGACTGTATGACAAACGAACAGTCTCTTAGGTAGTCTTGCCTGGAATATGTTGGGAAGCCAATAGGATCAGAAAGTAGTCCTAGGAGATTGCTGCTCGGCCCCATGGCGTTTGAGTTGTGGGGTCCTGAAAATAAGTCCATTCTGCCCCCTCTGCTGTTCAACATCTATAGGAACCCCTTGGGAGCTGTCCTTTGGGGATTTGGAGCATGGTGTCATCTGTATGCTGTGGACAAGCAGCTGTTATCTCTCCATTCCTTCTGAATCAGGAGAGGCTGTGAAGGTGTTTGACCAGTCCCTGGAAGCAGTGGGGAGCTGTGGGTGGCTGATTCCTGGAAATAAAGTATTAGGTGTGTTCTGGGAGGGGCTGCACAGATCCAGTATTCCTGGATTCTAGATTGTGCACCAGACACTCTCTTATCTCGCCAGAGTGGTTCATGCTCTGGTTATCTCCCGCTTGGACTACTGCAATGAGCTCTATGTGGGGCTACCTTTGAAGGTAACCCGGAAACTACAACTAATCCAGAATGCGGCAGCTAGACTGGTGACTGGGAGTGGCCGCTGAGATCACATAACACCGGTCCTGAAAGACCTATTTTGGCTCCCAGTACTTTCCAAGCACAATTCAAGGTGTTGGTGCTGACCTTTAAAGCCCTAAATGGCCTTGGCCCAGTATACCTGAAGGAGCGTTTCCACTCCCATCGTTCAGCCCGGACACTGAGGTCCAGCTCCGAGGGCCTTCTGGCGGTTCTTTCCCTGCGAGAAGTGAGGTTACAGGGAACCAGGCGGAGGGCCTTCTTGGTAGTGGCACCTGCCCTGTGGAACGCCCTCCCACCAGATGTCAAGCAAATACTGTAAACAACTATCTGACTTTTAGAAGATATCTGAAGGCAGCCCTCTTTTAGGAAGTTTGTAATGTTTGATGCTTTCTTGTATTTTTAGTATTTTGTTGGAAGCCGCCCAGAGTGACTGGGGAAACCCAGCCAGATGGGTGGGAGATTAATAATAATAATAATAATAATAATAATAATAATATGTTTGTTTCTTTGTTTATTATTATTTGGTGTCTGTGGCCAGGAGTATTTATGCCCAGCTTAGGCCGGTTTGCCAGCTGTGGATGCCCCCGGACTGGGATAGCGTGACCTCAGTTGCCCATGCCATAGTGACCTCCCACCTAGACTACTGCAGTGTGCTCTTTATGGGGCTGCCCTTGAAGCTGGTCCAGACGCTGCAGCTCTGCACTAGCTGCCAGTGAGCTACTGAGCCCAAGGTGTCAGTGCTAGAGTAAAAAGCCCTAAATAGTGCGAGACCCAAGTACCTAAAATAGCGACTTTCCCAGTAACAACCACCTTGGGCCCTACAGTTGGCCAGGGGAGACCCAGTGGTGGTGCTGCCTCCTGGTGCTGCCCAGTTGGCATTGACCCATGACAGGGCCTTCTTGGTGGTGGCTCCATGTTTGTTCCCTGCCCTCCCCAGTGAGCTGCATCTGTCTCCCTCATTATTGGCTCCCAGCGGAAATTTATAAAGGCATCCTTGCTTACCCAGGCATTTGATGGCTGGTAGATACTGGCCCTGGCAAGTTTGAAATTCGCCACTGCTTTTAACGTTCTTGGTGCTTTTTAAGTGCCTTTAAACCTTTCAAGTTTGCTTTTATTTTATTTTAAACTGTATGGTTTTATAAATAGCTGGCTTGATTCCCTCCAGATACTTTTGGACTCCAGGGGTTTCATTCAACGTAGCACGAAGCAAAAACGCCATCATTGCTAGGATTGGTATCCATTTCACAGCCAGTTAGCTCGATAAGTAGATAATCTGATTTCTTGCCGCTCTTCCCAGTAAGGTCCCAGGGCGGTTTGCAACATTTTTTTTTAAAGTTAAGATTGGTTTACAACAAATGACAATCGAGAGAGACCAGGGTGGGTCCTAAAATGTATCTCATGTTTCAGAAGCCATGGTATAGGTGTGTCTTCAGGCATATGATGAAAACCACCTAAATAATATGTCAGGTGCACCTCCAAATATTTATTGGTGCTGGGCCGATGGGAATGCCTTGCTTTGGACGCTCGTGTTTAATTCAGACCTGTCCAAAAGTACTATCCTTCTTACAGTAATGTGAAACAGATTTGGCTAATGCCATCTGGCATATCTTACAGTGCGTCTGACCCATGTACAGTGTTTTGAAGATGCAACCGGCCGAAGGAAGTGCTCACAAGAACAACATTGACACCACTCTTCTCTTTCATTTTTTAAAAAGAAATTGCAAAAAAGGTGGAAAAATAATTCGGAACAGGGCTTTTCGTACACAATAAACTGAGGCCAAATATAATGGCAACGCAGCAGAGAATTCACAAGTCCCTTGGGAATACACTGCCACAGGTATATGGGCATGTTAGGGCAGTCCCCCTGCTTCAAAATGCGAAGCTGCAGATATTTTGGGAGACAAGGAACGATATCGGTAAATCGGTATTGAGCCGAGCTGCTGTGGAAATGCAGTTTGCATGGTTATTTCACATCCCCTCCTGCAATACTGTTTGCGTAACCCGAATAGTTCTATTATTATTATTATTATTATTATTATTAATATTATTACAATGCACCTTCATTTATCTGCTGATAGAAGTGCCGAGAAAAAAACACGCAACAAAAGATATTTTGTGCAACGACATCAGTGGGGGAAGAAAATATTCTTGGAAAAATTTCATGCTGTTAAATCTCTACAGATTTACACTTTTATCCAGTCAAATTAATGCAAAACCCCCAACGCAAGGGTTTGGATTTTCAAAACTTGGGAGGAGTGTCGTTCCCTAATAGTAATTATTGGTTTTACATTATTTTTTCACAGGGGAGCTGATCACAGCCGCCTATGAGCTTGGAGTAAGTATTAGTTTTATTGTTTAATCAATGCTCTCATTAACAGTTTTAGGAATTAAGGAAGTTTAATTAAGCATGGAGTTAAAGTAGATTAATTTATTTTCAAACCACAGTTTTTGCTAACTTATAAGTACAGCACGCGACAATTTACTCCCAAGTTTTAAATCCAATTAAACTAAATTATAAAGCAAAGGCTTTACTGTATATACAGTAGTTGGCTTATTATCAACCCAAATTTTGTATAAGCTGGGGAGAATAAAATAAATCGGGTTAACAATTTTAATAAGTTTTGTTATTTAATAAACTTTTATTACGGCGTGTGATCCCCTTTAGGCGAGACCTTAGGACTGTCATCGCGGTGGTAATCCGATAGCGGTGTGGTCTTTCAGCTTGCTAACCAATAAAATAGTTCAGAATCTGTTCTTTCTCTCTATTTTGGTCGAATCGTATATGTATATATATTTGGAACCCCAGCCTTTTGACTGACTGTAATATACTATGAACCCAAACTTCAAGCCGTTTAAAGGACAATGGTGATGAGTCCCACCGCATCTCTTAAGTGGTGCATTCATCTCCTTGATGAGTGTAGCAAATCCACTAAGGCAAATATTTCTGCAAAGTTTAGAATTGGCACTTCAGAGAGACAAGATGAGATGAGAAGGCGTGGGGGAGAAAATCTGCTTTTTTAAAAAAGGGACTGTGCTCTGACTTGTGTGTTTATTATGAGGCTGATAAGGCACTTATTTCTCCATCAGACAGCCCTTGTGTGACATCTTCACTGCAAAGCCTTCTCTGTTTGTTTTTCCCTCCTAGGTTGCTCACCCCCCAGGCTATCCTCTTTTCACTCTTTTGGCTAAACTGGCAATTGAGCTGCTCCATTTCGGCTCGGTCGCTTTCCGCGTGAACCTGCTCTGCGCTGTGCTCGGAGCCGCCGCAGCGCCGTTTTTCTTTTACACCGTGGCCAGGTAAAGTAGATGCTGCTGGTATATATTTTTCCCCTGCTTTTCCGGGATCTGCAGTTACTGGGTAGGATCTTTAATTGTGGAGATGAACTTCTCCCCGACACAAAAGCAGCGGCGGCAGTGGCTGCTGTCCGTGACAGGCTGTGCATGCAGAACCGAACAAAATGCATAATTTTCCGGGCGAAGGCCGGGCTTGACAGGACATGACGCTAGCTCTGTATGAGTCCAAGGGAGGACTCCTCACCCCCCCCAACCCTGCCGCACCTGCTTTCCTGGAGCGGCAAATGGCTTCTGAAACACCGAAGGAGTTTCAAGAACAGTTTGTAACATGGGTGTTTTGGGAAAGCGGCGGGGACAGGTGACATCGAAAATTGTGCAGGGCTAGCGCAGATCCCTTGCATGAGTCTAAGCTGGCCTTTGGATCCCAAGCTCAGTCGATTGTGGAAAAAACTGCAGAGCACCAGAGAAGTAACTTCGCTCTGCCCTGATGCATCTCGGCTCCATTCCAGAAGCGGAAGCTGGCGGATACTCCCTCGTGGAAGCTGCCCGCTTGGGGTTACGGAACAAACCAGACACTTTGGGAAATGGAAATCCACCGTATCAGTAGGGCTGGGCAATCTATTGACACAGAGCTTTCCAAATGATGCGTCACGACACGTTTGTGTGTCGGCTGCAGTGTGTAGCTATGTCGTGCAAACGCTCCCTGTGCTCCCCCAGGGCTGGAAAGGGCATGAGCGGCCCGGCGGTTTGCTAGCCAAACTGAATTGCTGTGCCGCGAAAGGATGCGTGTCTAAAAAGTGCGTCACCAGCACGCAAGGTTCGGGAAGCTCTGTATTGATATATCGTCCCCAAACCGGTTTTTAAAGTCCATATCGTGATAGAGGTTTCATCGTTCTGGACCCGGCAAGATATCGCGAATCATGATGGGCGTTCATTTTTGACCTGGCAGTATATTGTGAACCGTGGTGTGTGGGTGTGTCTGCCACGCAGAAATCACAATGTAGGAAAAACCTGACGCCAGCCTCTGCCTCTGCGTAGCTCCATCCTTATTTTAGACACTGTGATATATCGCGGTGTTTAGCTGGTGATATATCGCGATGTTGGAAACTGGATATCGCCCAGCCCATGTATCAGCAGGGCAAAGTGTGCCATGCAGATTGTACAGCTTTTGCACTCATCCTGGTTGCCGCTCTCACCTGTGGGGAAATGGGCAGAGGCCCCATTGCCTGAATTTGGAGTCCCTGCGCTCGGACTGCTTCTCCGTGGCATGTTCCATTTGCCTAAGCAGAGCTGGCACTGCCTGCCTATGAAGGAGGGGAGCCTTTGGGGGCCGGCAGAGCTCAGCATGCGCCCTGGATGTGCATTTAGCCAAGGCATGTGCATGTGCTGGCCCAAGCATAAAGCATAAAGCATAAAGCATTTCGTTTTCAAACATCCCTGCAAGAGCATACCCTGCATTCCTGGGGGCGTTGGGGCATGATCTTAGGAACATAGGCTGCTGCCTTCTGCTGAGTCCATTTAGCTTAGTATTGTCAACACTGGCTGGCAGCAGCTCTCCAGCATTTCAGGCAGGGAGTCTCTGCCAGTCCTACCTGTAGAAGCCTGGGAATGAACCTGGGACCTTCTGAATGCAAAGCGGATGTTTTGCCTCTGAGCTACGGCCCTTCCCCCTGATTTTAGAAGTAAGCAGCTGATCTAGTTATTAATCTTGTATCCCCTTCCTTTCCCCTCTCAATTTCCTGCTTGTTTCTGCCTCCCTCCCTTCTATACCCACTTCCTCTTTCTCTCTTTTTCTTAACCTTATTGTAGTTTGTAGTCATTTAGTGGGAAAACGTCATTCATAAATTGCCTTCTAAAACAATAATAATCTCTGCAATCAATCTAAATTAATTGGGATACATTCTGTGAACTGTTTTGCTTTAAACAAATGGCACACACAAGGAAATATCTGCTATATGCTAAAAACCCTTCCCTTCTTTGGTTTAGCAGTACAACTCTACATTAAAGTCAAAAACAACATTCAGCTGAATCGTCACGGCTGCTGAATTTTCAGTTTCCACCCCAGCGCTTGCTGCAAACTGCTAATTGATTCATCTGGCTACAGTTTATATAATTTAAATTTTGTATCGGGCCTTGGAGTCTTCACAAAAGTTAAAAACACACGCGCAGGCAACATTCCGCCCCCCCGGGCCGGAAAAAACCCCAACTAATTTATTTCAAAAGAGTGGCAACATTGTTCAGTCTTGTTGATGCTGATCAGGTTTATCTAACCAGAAGTAACAATGTTTGTCATTACAAAAAGACACAGATGTCTTTTTTTTAATAAGTTAACAATACATGCATCAACTGTACTGGCAAACTTTTAATTGCTGGCGTTACGAAGGGGAGGCAGCTGCCTGCTGATGGCGTCATTTGCGTTATTCCACCTGTGTTGTACAGTACAGTGACTTGGAATACTGTACTGACCAAATAATATTGAGATGCAGCTTGGATTGGCAGGGGCCGCAGTGGAAATGGGAGATCATCAGTTGGAAGTGTGTGTCGGGAAATTTTCAGGTTATACCGACTTGCAAGAAAATATGAACAATCTTTCCCTTTTTTTGCATTGCAGGGTTCTCTGCTTCTAACCATGTGCAAAAGAGAAAGCATTTTGGGGTGGCCTGGCTTGGTTATTCGTTAAATTTATACCCCTGTCCTTCCTTCCAAAGGAGCCCAGGGTGGTAGCTGCTACAGTAATTCAAAAATACATTTAAATAATGGTACTACATTAGCTCCCCCTGCATCTTTCTGTATCCTAACTCACAGGTGAGAAATGGTATTTTGGACGGTTCAAACCATCTTTTTGGGCTGGCTTTGGCCAGCCCAGTGGCCTCCAGAGAGTTCAGACTGCGCTGCCTGTGCTGTCAGGGGCTCACAGGAGTTTATATTAATTCTTTCAGTCTCAGGGTGACTCAAGAAGATAACATACAACTCGATAAAATCGTCGAGAAGCCAGAAATGTAACCAACGTGGTACAACACACAATTCCCAAAATGCTCAGCCAACAACACAGTAAGGACAAGCCTTACCTGGCTCTGCTCAAAGATGACCACAGCTGTAGAGGCTTGCTCGGGGTAGGCGACCTAAGGCCCATGGGCCGGATGCGGCCCAATCGCCTTCTAAATCCGGCCTGCGGACGGTCCGGGAATCAGCGTGTTTTTCCATGAGTAGAATGTGTGCTTTTATTTAAAATGCATCTCTGGGTTAATTGTGGGGCATAGGAATTCGTTCATTCCCCCCTCCCCACCAAAAAAATATAGTCCGGCCCCCCACAAGGTCTGAGGGACGGTGGACTGGCCAACAGCTGAAAATGGTTGCTGACCCCTGGGCTAACTTAACCACAGAAAGCCTGGGCGAATGGAAGTGTTTTTGCCTGGCATCTAAAAGCTGTCACTGGTGATGCCAGCTGTGTTCCCCTGGAGAGGATTCCAGAATCTGGTGGATACCTGAATTGGTGCCAGCTACCTGAGGCCCTCTTCACCCTCGCTTCCAGCAGGGTGGGAGACTCCCTCCTCCTCCCTCCCTACTGTGATCCCAGGCAATTGTGATATATTTAGGGAGGGCAGCCATGTGGGTCTTTCCCAAATGTCCGGCGTAAGACTGCGAGTGGCCCCTGTTACGTACGCTGATAACAAATTGGCGCTGCAGCAAAATGTTGCAGCGTGGTGGTGTTCCTATTCAGGATGCTTATACAGTCATACCTCGGGATAAATATGCTTCGGGTTGAGCGCTTTCGGGTTGCGCTCCGCGGCGACCCGGAAGTAACGGAGCGCATTACTTCAAGGTCAAAATGACGTCATGCGCGGGAGTGGCGAAACACGACCCGCGCACACACAGACGCGCTGTCGCGTCTTAGGTTCTGTTCGGGATGCGAACGAGGCTCCGGAATGGATCCCGTTCGCATCCCGAGGTACCACTGTATCTCCTGCCTTACTTGGTTTCCCTTTCTAATCTTATTATCATCTTGTTATTACAATTAATACCATTTTTTCAAGTGCTCAAAGCGCTTTGAGAGCACTATCTACTTGTAAGTCTTCCAGCAACCCTGTAAGATAAGTCAACATCACCCATGCTACAGGTGGAAGGACTGAGGGGTATCTGTCTATTTTACTATCTAAGGGCATGCTTGTCTAAGGCCACCTGTTGAGTTAATGAGAGGATTCGAACTGGTGACTTCCCGATTTGTAGCTGCAATATGCAACCACACTGACCACAGTGTTAGGGCCCAAGGCCTGTCATATCAGTCTTTCCTATCACCCATTCTCTCAGTTGGGAATCAGCCAGGTGGGGAAAACCCAAATGATAGGCCTCACCCACCTGGGCAGTCACATGCATAAAGTAGACAGAGGAGAAGCAGCATCCACACTTCTGTGGCTTCTTGTGGAAGGATTGTTATGTGTGACAACGGTCAGAGAAATAGGGCTTGTTTAATGACTTGGGGATAACAGTATAAGGGAGATAAATACTGCAAAGGAGAGCATTTCAACAAAACAATATACAGGCCAGTGATATACTGGCACACTGCAAAGTCATACCAAACTAGATCACCAAAGCAACTACTCCAGAGTAAGGAGTGTGGACAAGCAAACAAATAAATTGCAGAAGTAAATATGATTTCTTTCTGTGATTTATTTGTTTGCTTGCCCACAGTCCTTACTCTGGAGTAGTTGCTTTGGTGATCTATTTTGGTTTGACTTTGCAGAGGAGAGCAGCCTGTTTTGCACATGCCTAGCATTTTGTATTAATCCTGCCTAGCCACTTAACAATAGTTTGTTTCCTGCCAACAAACCATGGCCTGAAACCATGGTTTGTTGTTGGCACAGTGAGTTTTTGGTGCCAATGAACTTTGGTTTGTTCTAACCGTGGCTTGGCCGCTGTGTGGAATCCTCACTGATGCAAGAGCAGCTGGGAAACAAACCAGATTTTTGGAGACACCAGCGTTCGTTTGTTTGATCATCTGTGGG